AGTCTGGCACAAAGTACAAAGAAAGTTTTGTGATATTGTTGGAAGAAGAAAATGTGTGTTTACAGTTTGGCCAAATTCAACTTGTGATTATAGACAAAAATAATAAGATTTTTTTTATTTGTAGAAAGCTTCTAATCCTTGATTTCGATGAACATTTCGACGCATATGAAATAGAATATTCGTGTTCAAATTATATTGTTAATTACGATTCCTTGTTAAGTCCTTTTCCACTAAACATAATACAGGAGCACGGCAAAAAATATGTTTCGCTAAAACACTTACCGTAGAATATATAACTTCTTTTCCAAGAGAAATATTAATTTTTTCCTCATTCGAATTTGTGTTATATGTTATGTGTTCTTGATGTTATCTACAATTCTTATAATCGCTGAGTTGTGTAAAATAATTTATAATCTTTAAATTTTGATGTTATGTTCCTTAGCTTATTTATTTATGTGAACATATTTACTGAGTTATTTAACTTTTAATTTTCATTACAGTATAATACTTTTTGAAAATATTTATCCAAAAACAAAATTTCATTAATTTGAAAATTCAAAATTTAAGGATCATTTGATATTATTCCAAACTTTCACTATTATTTTTAATTTTTTGTATGAAGTTTGTATATATATACGTTCATTGTCAATAAACTTTATAAATAAAAATAATGTAAATTAAAGTTAATTTTTATTATTATTTACCGAACCTAAATATTTAATCTAAATATTTTTTATGTCTATACCACCATGAAAAAGAAATCTCTTTCGCTTTCCACATGTAAAAGAACCTGATTCACGTTGGTACTAAATAATTTAAAGACAGGCCTCATAGTCGTCCCCTATTTTCTCTAAAAGTCCCCTTTTTACTATTTGTTCCTGAAAGTACCCTATTTGATAAATTTTCCCTACATTTTCCCTATTTTTCACAAAAAAATTGTTTAACTTAAATTCGCTCTTAAATTACTTATTTTCTTAACTTTAATCGAATTCTTTGAAAATATCATTTTTAAATAATTTCTCAATTAAAAATTTTTCAAAATTCAATTATTTTGTGAACTTTGTTAAAAAATGTTATTAAATTAAATTTACCAAAATTCCAAATGTATATCTTTTGAAATTTTAATGATTTCTGAACAAGTTAACTTATATAATTGAAAATTCAATTATTTCTAATATTTATATCTAAAATTCTTGGCTTAATTATTTAGATTTCTAATGTATTTTATTAAAAATTTTCGAAATTTTGTTCTACTGAATTGAATTCTTAAAAATTTGTTTCAATTCAATTTTGAATTATTTTAAATAAAATGTCTTGGAAATATTTTTATGAATTATTTTTGTTTTACTAAAGAATTAATCCAATTCATTTAACTTCTAATAATAAAATATTTATTTTAAACAAACAAACTACAACAGAAAATCAATTTTTTTCCTTTTGATGTAAATTGTCCAAAACGACTTATTTGATAGATTTTGTATTAAAATGCTTGATAAAATTTGATAAATATCTAAAATTTTTGATGGAGAGAATTATTTCACTACATTTCCATTAAAGTCGATACAAACTAATTAGTTTTTTTTTACTTTTAGAAATGACACTGTAATAATTTATGTAATTTCCATAGTACCCTAAAATTCGCTTATTTCAAAATTTTCAGTCCTTTACTTTCCCTAAAATATTTTTTAGGGTCACTATGAAGCCTGTAAGGAACTAGAAACCATAAAACAAAATTATTGGGTCAAATAATATTTCATAAAAAAATAAAATATTTAAGTGAAATAAATGAACTAATTGAAGACATGAAAATATTCCCTACATTTAATTTATAAGAATTTTTGCGATGACGAATATTAAATTTTCGAATTTTTATTTAGCAAAATTTTATAAGGAGATTTTCTGATACCAACATCAAATTTCAAATTAATATAATTTCAATTTAACGGAATGTATGTCAAGGAAAATTGCACTAAAAAGAATTTTTATTTAATAGAATTTTTATTTCAGTAAATTTCGATGTACTTATAGCAGAATATTTACTTAACAGAATTGTCATTAAATGAAGCTACAATTAACAAGAATTTCTATTTAACAAAATTCTTATTAAAGAAAATTTTAAATCGAACTAATTTTTATTTAACAGAATTCTCCCTTAACAAAAGTTCTACTTATATTAGTTCTTTATTGTTCAATTTTTCTAAACAAAAGTTCCCTTAAATTGAAATTATATAAATTTGAAATTTGAAGTACTGGAAAATTTGCTTTAAAAACGTTCTAGTAAATACAAATTCTTTTAAATCTACTTTCAGTTCAATCAAAATTCTTTGATATAAAAATTTTTTTTAATGTAAAATCTACTTTATAAAACTTTGTTGAATAGAAATTCAATAATTTAAGATTCGACGCCGCAGAAATTCTTATAAGTTAAATGTGAGGAATATTCATACATAGGTCCCACTAAATTTTTCAAATAATTCATTGCTTTATTTTAAAAATTTGATTTTTTTCTTATAAATCAATTATTTATTTCATCGAAATATTTTTAATAAAATAATGTATAAGCAATAAATAATAAATTATTTGTATTAATAAATAATTTTCTTTACATGAACCATTAAATTAAATTTATTGTATCAAATAATTTTTATTTATATTAAAAAAACAAATATTTCACTGAAAACATAACCTCAAATTTCAAAATCCGTAAATTATAATTTTGTAAACACAAGATATGTTTTAACAATATTTAAATTTAGAATATTGTTTTTATATAATCATTTAATTATTATTTTCTATATTTTACATCATTTTCTATAAACTTCACGCATTTTTGGTAGCTTTCAGTCTAATCTTTATAACTATTCACCAGAATTATGTTTTTAGTTATACATTTTGAATACTGTAAACAAGGAATTTCAAAATCTTTATTATAAAGTGACATAAAGTATAAATTAGCAGTACACTTTCACCAATATAGAGATATTGACCAAAGATTTTCACTTTGGCCGAAACAGCGATAATGACAATATCGCTCGTTCATTTTCGACGAAATATTTAGCTATTATGGCGAAAAAATTCTTAAATATAGTTGTACTTTTTTTCCGTGCAGAGATCTCTTCAGCATTCAAGCGACTTCTGTACCGGCAGAACGTCCATTTTCAAAGGCTGGATTAATTATAAGAAAACACCGGAATCGACTAAATAATGAATCGGCTAGAACATGTATCTGTCTCAATTCTTGGAGGACATGCAGTTTACACTCAATTATAACAGAAAAACTGAGAAATTCGTAGAATTTCATATTTGAATTCTTTATTTTCATCGCCCTAGATATTTATTATGTTTATTACAGATGAATTTTATCTTAAAAAATATTGAGATGTCCTTTTTTGTTATTTTCGAGACATTAGTTAATTAATTAATTAATGTTAATAAAAAATTATATATTTTATAAACAAATAAAGTCATCGTAATTCTGAAGTTACTAAATGAAAGTTGACGTAATTCCGCATCCAACGAGCCCAATATGAAGTACCTTGGATTAGTGGATTGTTAATAAACAATTGGCTAACATGGCGATTGTTTATAAAAAAGCCTCTAATCCAAAATAGTCTATATAGGGCTCGTTGGATGCGGAATTACGTCAGATTTAATTGGTAGCTTCAAAATTGCAAAAACTTTCTTTATTTGTGAAATATTTCATGTTTTATTCACATTAATTAATTAATTAATAATTATCTCGAAAATAACAATAAAGGACATGTCAATATTTTTTGTGGTGAAAATACACATTTTTAGCTTTAAAAAAAATAAATTAAAAAAATTAAAAGGACCAAACTTAAAAAAAATCAAAAAAAATTTAATTTAAAAAAAAGTGTCAAAATTTTAATTTTTTGAAGATTTTTTTGAATTATTCGGAAGAGCAGGAAAAAACCTTCCAAAAACATACAGGACAAATCTTTTTTCTTCTTTCTGTTTAAATGTTACAAGTCTTCAACAATTCACTGTTTAAATTTTTCAAAAAAATTCAACCCCCTCCCTCTCTGACAGTTTTTTAAAAAACTTAATAATACTTCGTGGTTAAAGTAGTCACCCCTAGGGCATAAATATGTGCCAGTTACAACCCGATCCGATCAACTTTTTTTTCACTTAGTACGCTACAGGAATTTTACCCCAAATACAAACTAAAACGTAGTATATACAGAAGAAATAGGAACATTACATTTGTTCAAAAACTTACGTTGATCTTTAAAATTACCATCGGAAGCTTACAAAAGCTCGGACCTTGAGATGCCGTCCGACGGGCGGTAAACGCAACAAAAATGCACGTCACTATACGTGTAGTGTCTTTTCAATTTAGAAAACGCGCAAAGCATTCACGGGTTCATCGATCTCAAACAGCGCTGGCACCACACGTGCTGACTGGTATGTATACCAAGTTTAAACATCCTAGCTCCAAAACTGTAAAAGTTTAAGGGGTCACGGTTTTTTCCGAAATTTCGAGTTTTTGGAATATAACTAAATTCAATTCAATTCTAATCAGGTTCGCTATAATTTTCGTTTAATCTACTCGCGAAAATATGTATGTATACCAAGTTTGAGCTCATTCTGTTGAAATGGCTAGATTTTAGGGGGGGGGGTGGAATGATTTTGTGGACGGACATGAGTGAAACCATAAGGATTCCGTTTTGGTTCACTGCGTTAACGAAACCCTAAAAAGAAGGACATTTCCATATTCTTTTTATTTTAGTATTTAAAGTCATTACTCTTAAAAAATTCACTGTTTACATTTTTCAAAAAAATTCAACCCTCTTCCCTTTCTACAGTTTTTAATAAAACCTCCCAATGCTTCGTAGTTAAAGTACTCACCCTGTCACCTATAGGACTAAACTATGTGCCAGTTATAGCCCGATTCGACTAACTTCTTTTTCACTTAGTACGCTTCATGATATCTAGAAAATACCTGATGATATTATTATAGTATGAATAATAAAACTTACATTTCACCTTGATTTGTAGTGGTGCACTACGTATTACACCGACGGCGTTTGTCACCTGACAAGAATATTGTCCAAATTGAGACATAGATAAAACTCTCAACGTTAAAGTATCAGATGCAATAAGAATGCCTGCATTGATGTTATGCTGTAGTGATGAATTCTTAAAAGAAACAAACATAAATAATTAAGCAAAATATAAAAATTGATAAATATATTTTTGATCTGAGAAAAATTCTAATTTACTACTGACAGATATGAAAGTTTTCATTTTCAAAAATTGTAGAAAGTATTGTGGGTTAAAGTTTTGACTTTTTAGGTTCTTAAGGCTAATCAGTCAGTGGCGCATATTGACTTTATAATAAGGTGAGCCGAGTTACCTGCTTTCACACCACCATATCGCAATTTTAATAAATAAATAAAATAATAAATAAAAACCGCTGACAAGTTGAAGTATGAAGTATTCCCCTCATGGGGAATGTACTTTTTGTCTTCATTCCACGAAGACTTTGCTTCCTCATGGAGATTTTTAGGGTAATTATAATAAATAATGAATAATAATAATTTCATTAAAAAGCTTATAAATACTTTATAAGTATATTTCAAAGTGATTGGTATTTAGCCAATTTCATTGAAAAAAGTATTTTCCATTTTTTATACTTGTTACAAATTTGATATCACTTTTTCAAAATTTAAAATGGCGAATCCAATATGTCGGATTACAAATTTAAAAATTTAACAAAAATTAATTAATTAACATTTAAAAATTCCTCTAACAAGTTACAGGCAAATCGAGTGAATTTTAAATTTTTTTTTTGTCGCCATATTGGATCCGCCATTTTGAATTTTGAAAAACTGACATCGGATTCGTAATCAGCGACCCAAAAAAAACCCCGCGTAACAAGTTTCAAGTAAATTAAATGGATTTTTAAATTGTTGTCCACCATATTGGATCCGCCATTTTGAATTTTGAAAATTTTGAAAAAATGACTTCAAATTCGTAATCAGCGACCCCAAAAACATACAATATGATAATATCAATTTAAAAAAAAAAATTTTTCTCACATATGGGGCACGGAAGCTTTGTTTTTGCAACACTGCAAAGGGGTTGAATTGTTCAAAACTCTAATTTTATAATTAATGTAAAAATCATATAACAATTACAAAAATAAATATGGGACGTTTCACGTCAACCGGCCCAAAGCTATGTCCAAAATTCTATGCAATAAAAATAAACATGTAATAAATGAAAATACTCGTAAACTCATCCCCTTTCAATTGCAAAGTGGCAGAATTGAAAATTCAAAATGCCGTCCTTACTATGTCAAGTGGAAGCGGCTAACTTCAGAAATAAGTAATTATGTTTATTAATTTCTTTTAAAAAATTATGCAAAAATTTTAGGTCACCACATATTTCAATGTTTTTGGGGTCGCTGATTACGAATCTGAAGTCAGTTTTTCAAAATTCAAAATGGCGGATCCAATATGGCGGATTATTTTTTAAAAATTAATTGAATTTGCTTGAAACTTGCTACTCGGGGGTTTTCGAGGTCGCTGATTACGAATCTGAAGTCAGTTTTTCAAAATTCAAAATGGCGGATCCAATATGGCGGATTATTTTTTAAAAATTTATTGAATTTGCTTCAAACTTGTTACTCAGGGATTTTCCAGGTCGCTCATTACAAATCTGAAGTCAGTTTTTCAAAATTAAAAATGGAGGATCCAATATGGCGGACGAATTTTTTAAAAATTCATTGAATTTGCTTGAAACTTGTTACTTGGGGGTTTTCGAGGTCGCTGATTACGAATCTGAAGTCAGTTTTTAAAAATTCAGAATGGCGGATTTAATATGACGGACGAATTTTTAAAAATTGATTGAATTTGATTGAAACTTTTTACTTAGGGGTTTTGGAGGTCGCTGATTATGAATCTGAAGTCCTAGCGTTCTGAGATGCCTGAGGTCTTCCTCAAACACAACTTTTCCTTAATTTTTCTTTACCCCCTGCTATGATTTAGATGGAAATTAGGTACAATATTTGTAGATAAAATTATTCACCTTGTTGCGAGTCAAAGAAACTGTATAAATCGAAAGGAAGAAAACGAATAATCAAATAATGTGGCTGATTCAGTGCATTTCATTATTAACTGATTAACTGAGTTTTAGTAACTTTTTAAATGCGGCTGTAATAATAATTTTTTTCATGAATGTTCATGTAAGTAGTAAGAACATTTGAGCATCGTAAAGACATGGACGATATCTAAATTATAAAAGAGCTTATTCAGACTTCGTAAGATATGTTTTAGCGATTGTCATTTTTTTCACGATGTTCAAATGTTTTTATTAAACCCTCAGTGTGTCAACTGTAAAGGATCATGTGATGGCATAGGAGCTATTTTAAAGAGAGAAGCCACTCGTGCTAGCTTGCAATCCTCACCAGACAAAGCCATTTTAAATGCAGAGACTCTTTACCAATGGGCTAAGCAAAATATCAAGACTTCGCAGATTTTCTTTTACAACAAGCAACAACACGAGAGAGTGAAACGAAAACTTGCTAGTAGATTTTCTAGAGCACCTAGTGTTACAAAAATTCAATCTGCTCATTCTTTTATTGTAACATCAGAAGAACAATTAAAAATATTCAAATATTCAAATGCACCTCATCCTATTGCAGTTATGCAATATTAAAATATAATTACATTGGTTTGGATGTATTTTGTAAATTTAATTCAAACGGCCTTTTTTAAGGCTACCAAAAAATTATGGTTTAAAAATTAAAACAATCAGCCTTTGTCAAGGCTACCACATTCTTACAGTTCATAATTATAACAATCGGCCTTTTTAAAGGCCACAAAGTAATTATATTGGATTTGCCATTTTGAATTTTGAAAAACTGTCTTCTGATTCGTAATCAGCGACCTCGGAAACCCCCGAGTAACAAGTTTCAATCAAATTCAATGAATATTTAAAAAAATCCGCCATATTGGATCCGCCATTTTTAATTTTGAAAAACTGACTTCTGATTCGTAATCAGCGACCTCGGAAACCCCCGGGTAACAAGTTTCAATCAAATTCAATGAATTTTTAAAAAATAATCCGCCATATTGGATCCGCCATTTTTAATTTTGAAAAACTGACTTCAGATTCGTAATCAGCGACCTCGGAAACCCCCGGGTAACAAGTTTCAATCAAATTCAATGAATTTTTAAAAAATAATCCGCCATATTGGATCCGCCATTTTGAATTTTGAAAAACTGACTTCAGATTCGTAATCAGCGACCTCAAAAACATTAAAATATGTGGTGACCTAAAATTTTTGCATAATTTTCTAAAAGAAATTAATAAATATATTTACTTATTTCTGAAGTTAGCCGCTTCCACTTGACATAGTAAGGACGCCTTTTTGAATTTTCAATTCTGCCACTTTGCAATTGAAAGTGGATGAGTTTACTAGTATTTTCATGTATTACATGTTTATTTTTATTGCATAGAATTTTGGACATAGCTTTGGGCCGGTTGACGTGAAACGTCCCATATATATATATATTTGTTTTTATTATATTTTTAACATAATATAGTAATTAATTTATATTTTTAATATACATAAATAAATTCTTCGAAAAATTAATAATTATTTTTAAACAAACCTCATTACTATTATAATATAAAAATATATATTTTTTCATTATTGATTCAAATTTCAACTGCAATTCTTCCTAAAATGAAAAATTTATTCAACGCATTTTTTTAAAACAAAATATATATATGTTATAATCAAAAATTATTTTTTTTCAATTATAGAAAAAAATATCAATATATAAATGAATAAAAAAAAAAAATAAACCTATTTATTTTTCCATTGCAAACAATAATAATATATTTAAAATGTTCTTTCAATGTAAATTCTTTTCGAAATATAATATAATATTCATAATTTTCTACATAATTTCAAATCTTTTAGAAATAGTTATATTTCAAAAGGAATTAACATTGAAATTATTTTGAAAATTGTGAATATTATATTAAATGGAGATAGATAGAAATTTATATTTTCATTCCAAACAATCAAATAACAATCATAAGCAAGGTTATATATTAATTAGATTTTCAAATCAAATCGACAATATTATTTTTAATTAATATATAAATATTAAAACTCAAGAATTTCTTCTAAAAAGTTTTAAATAAAATTACATTTAAAAAGAGAATGTTGTTTCTCAATTAAAAAAAAATGTTAAATTATTTTATAATCTGAAAACTTTATGAAATTTATTTACTTTTAAAAACAACGTTTCAATGTAGTTCATCCTAAATTCAAAAATTCTATTTGACATTTTTTCTTTAAATATATATATAAAATTAAATACAAAAATAATACAAAAATACATTCAAGAATTGATAATTTAATCTAAAAAAAGTTTTTCTATATTTTTATTATTTTATTATATTTTAATTTTAATTTTAATTTTTTTTATAAAAAAAATGTACATATTATATTTAAAAAAAATATTTTTGTATAATATTTTTTATATTTTTTCATCGATTGTTCGTTTGAGAAATAAAAAATGTTTTTATTAAAAAAAATTTATTTCTCTCCTTTATTAAATATTGTAACTTCTTTTTTTTGAAAACAAATTTTTTTAAAAATATTTTTATTTCTTTTCTCCTATTTAAATTTTTCTACTCAATTATTTTTTAATAAAAAAATAATTTGATTGTGTAATTTATTTCTCTGACTTTTTCCTTAATTTTTTTGTGATAAAAAATATTTACTTTTTTTCTAATCTTCTTGCTAACAACTTCAATTATGAATTTTTGCGAAGTCCAATTTTTTTTAAATTCTAATTTAAAATTCTTCAAATCAATAATTTCTTCATTGACATTTTTAAATAGAATCATTCAAAACATAATACATTTTTTAAGAAAAATAATAAATTAATAATTTAATAAAAAAAATTTAAATATATATAATAAAAAATTCTTTTAAATTTAATTATTTCTAAAAATTCATACCATCACACTTCTATTAAATTATTGCGTAAAATTTTAACTGAATAATTTTTATTTTTAAACTCTATTAAAAAATTTATGTAAATTCAATTATTTGAATACAAATACAAAAGTCAATAAAAAAATTAATTAATTAACAATTAATTTCATTAAAA